TTCAGCGGGCAAAAATACTATAATATATTTAGGTCTGGTTTAATAAACAGACCACTTTTATTTTTTTGTCTATCTGTATTATGCTTAACCTAGATGATCGTAAGTTCTAAATCTTTACCCACTTTTCCAGTAATAGATAGAAATAAACATATCTTCACAAATATTATTTTTCTCCGATCACGAAGGATTTTGTAAAATTACTGTATTTTATTTTTTTGAAAAGTGTAACTGAACATGGGAAGTCATTCCTGTTTTAAGTTTTAACGACTCTTTTTCTTTCTGAATATAATTTCCATTTTTACAGACGCATAAAAAATAAATATAGGGAAATTAAGGTCGCAGGTAATAAAAGTTTTTACCGAGAAGGCTGATGAAAGAGAGATAAGCAGCAAACGAATAGACAGAGTCCATACGTTGCTTTGTCAAAATGGTGTGGTGGTTACGTGAATATGAACGATAAAAATGCTACTGCTAGTTCTAAGTTCATATAATTCCTTTGGTAATGGACAAATAATTATGTTATGGACAATTTACTTGTTACATCGTGTGCAATTAATGTGTAAATTGTAATGGATATTGAGCTGAAACGAATTAAAATAAAATTTCACTTTTTACCATGGATTTCAATGTAATCGTTACCATTTACAACTAATAGCCATCACGTAATTATTGTGTACGGCTAATGTTCAGTCGCACATACTTAAACCTTTGTAACTTTTCAAATGAATAAAAAAATCGTTCAACGTTTTTCGATTTTAAGCTATAACTTATATTAAAAAAAATAAATTAATTTTGAAAAAGTAATTAAAACATTAAAGGATACATTTGTTCCTTTAAAGTTTTAATCACTGGAGCAGAATAACATTTCAGATACCTAACTGATGGGGGATAAAGAAAATAATACATTCTCTAAATAAGCTGACTATTGAATTGTATAAAACTTATTTTAAGTCTACCTAACAAAACTCGAAAAAGAAAATAATAAAATTGGTGGTGCATTGTTAGATTATAGTATAGGGAATCTAAATTTAGATTGACAGAATCTACATTTAGTGTTTGGGATGCAAAAGAATATAGTATATAGAGATGTTTATTTGGCAACAAATTTGACCATTCTACTCTTTGGTGTATGAATCCGTGTGCACGAATTCTCAAATGATCGCGTACCTACTATCATTGTGTCCACTTTCCCATCTATACTAAACTGCGGTGCACTCATAAACCGTTTAATTCCGTTTCGTGATAAACTTTATTGCCTTGGATCCATAGGCGACGATCCCAACGGACAAACATAATTAATAGTTATTATTTATTCGACTGGAGTTTATCACGTTAGAGATGAGAAATACATAGACAGAAAAGATTTAATTACACAAAACGTGTTGTTGACAGTCACGTATATTTTTGTTTTACATTTCGCATTTGGTTGAAGATTTTTATTCATTTTAGTAGGGGTACTCTTTCCATATTTGAAGAAATTTTAAATTTAAAAAAAATATTTTAAAAAATGTTAATTCTTTGCGGTATGGTGACACTCCATAGATAGGGTGGTCCGAAAAACTATGACTCCCCCTAATTTCAAGTCGTTCTGTAAACGCAAATTTAGAATTAAGTTTGTGGTATATTTCGTAAGAGAAAAACTTTTTTGAAGAAGACTTGTATAACAACTAGGTTTTACTTTTCTCACTTCTTGTAATTTCTTGTTTTGACATTTGACGCAAATTTGCTGTTAGTTTGCCGTGTGATCTTCAGATTATTGAGAAATTCCTGCAAAATGTTGTGCTATCTGGAATATATCTATATATGTGTATGTTATTGCAGTTGAGAAGATAGATACTGTCCACTGTTAATCTGTTTAAAGTTTATGGTTGTCCATAAAACAGGAGACCATTATATCTATCATTAATGAAAGACCAGGGTCATATCTCATAATAAACGGATTAAGTTAGGATCAAACGAATCGTTACCCAAAAAATATTTATAAAAAATGAATTTATCTATACTTTAATAAAGCATTTGTTTGATTTTTACTAATAGGAGTAGTAGGTGAAACAATGTTCCACAAATGATCTGTTTTTGTAGACATTAAGTTTCATAAAGTCATCAGTAATTTTTATCGATAAACCTAAATTAAATGATGTTTTAATCAAACTTTCAAAAACTTGTTTACAAATAAAACAACTTTTAAATTTTACAAATCGAACATCGTATATTCAAAAACGTTATCAATATTTTAAATTAAATTACTTTATACAGCAAACAATTTGATATTGAAACGGCAATCGTTCTTCTTCCGGTGAGTCTCGGAATTAATTAACTTTACCGCTGACAAATATTGACAGGTAAATTTTTGATCGAATGTCGTTAATTGTGTATCAGGAAACCACGAAACAGTGTACCGGTTGGAAATCGCAATAATATTCCTAATTGAAGCACTTAATGCCCGATGGCGTCGATATTCCAATAATTCACCCCCTTCTTGTCGCGAAGTCTAATAGTGTGAGGTGTAAGGGTACAATTCACATGGGATGCGGTCCTTCGGTTCTGCAGCAATGCATCACTCTGTCCGCAACGCAGAAACTCATCTACCAACATTGCCTACAGTTGCATACGTGTACCACACTTACAAAGAAAATGCCACATCGTACTCTAGAACACAAGCGTGGTCAATAAATATGCACACGATCAAAACAGAGTAGGGTGGATGAAAAACAAGTACCAAATAGTGTGCCTTTTCATATCAAGTTATTAATAAAACACTAACTGTGAAAATTAAAATAAAATTTCATCAATGTTTACTGTTGATGGTCTTTATATTCAATGGATTCAAAATTATATCTTATCTTTCATTAGAAGGAATTATTGATTCAATTTCCAACAAAATGAAAATATATCAGTGAGCAACTATTTAAGATTTTTATCCCACAGCTTCTTTTATAAAAAAGAATGAAATAATCGTTTGCACATTGTTTAATTATTATATAACCTATTCGGAACGTTACTTTAATTGATGCATAGCTGTCAAATACTTCTTGTCCAATTGTAACTTTGACGGGGATAAATGCTACTTTTAAATTGGTGGAATGTATTGAATCTAGTACATTGCTCTTTGATTAATGGCATGACTGTTGCAGTTCGAGTTGTTTCAATGCAATTTGACTTACCTTGGTACCCAGCTGGTGTTTGTACGAAGTGACAAAGCCGTGGTAAGAGTGACATTGTGACAAGTACCGGGCGACAACTAATTAATCATCTCGGAACGATGGGTAGAACAATGAATGCAGAAGCATGCGTTGGATTCCGCCGTTAAAATTCTAATCAAACATGTGAATGTAATAGAATGTGAATTCTGTTCTAAAACGTCAAATATCCACTAATCCTGGTTAACCTCGTTGCAATTGGACTAAATTTCGTAATTATTGAAATAAAATGCTAACAAAAATATAAAGAATAGAATTGTTTGTGATGCTAATGATGATAAAAGTGTAATTTTATAATTCCAAATCAGGATCTGCTATCATTTTAAATCCAACAGATATCTGTTGGATTTAGAAGTTAGAAATCCAGGTAGAAAAGTTAACGTTAGCTAATGATATTAACGTTAGACTAACTTTAGGCTAACATTAATCTAACAATATTTTTTGGTCACTAACGTTAGATTGACGTTAACCAAACATTAGTCTAACGTTAGCCTAACGTTAGTTAACATTAGTATCATTAGCTAACGATAACTTTTCCATCTGGGATTTTTGATGATAAAACATTACTAAATACTAGTATGCTCTACATTTTTGTCATCATTTTAATTTAACTTTTAGTCTCTTTCCAGAAACCGTGAGCATTGATTAAACTTTACACAATGAAATCGACAGCTACTTGAAATATAAATAGATGAATATCACTTATTTACAGGTTCTTATAATCACTTATTGGAGTCTTTATGAAAATACTACTTTCAGATGGTTTCCGCAAGAAGGGATTTATCCTCATTACTCTGGAGCTTGGTGGCGAATGAGTTATTAATGAAACTCAATTCCGGGGGTATTATACTCAAAGCTATGCGAATACCATCCTAATTATTATAAGAGGGTTCTCGATAGAATTGCTTATAGAATTCCCAGAAAGAGCTCTATAGGAATCGCTGAAGGATGATACGATTAAACTGGACACACTGTCAATTCAGAGAATACGGACATAGTTATCTTCACTAGAAAATGCAAAGTCTGTCAAAAAACTTTATAAAAGATTAAATTTAATATATCTGTGTATTAACCCTCTGCCTACTTACATGATCGTTATTGACAAAAACGAACAATTCGATCGCATGATGGGAACTAAGAATTGCATTTAAAAGCTTTAAAGTGGGGATGAGATGACGTAGGAAGAGGGTTAAGCACAAAAGATAAAATTCATTACCGTGATTAATATTTAGTTAATTTTTTCAAGAAAAAAAATTTGTTGAATTTTATACAATTCTACAGTTAAAGATTAGCAGAGCATTTATAATCAAATATTTCTATCGCTAAGTAGTTTTTGCAAGCATTTCTCTTTATTTTCTTTGGTTATTAATATCACTCGTCAACAGAGAGCAAGTTTGACCTCGGAATAATTTCGTACATAATTCAACCCTTTCGGTAATAACTCATTCAACTTGAAAATCATTCTGGCGAATAAGTTGGACTATGCTAATGTTTTAGAGATGCAAATTAAGGGCGTGAAGTACAGACGAGAATAAACGACTACACTTTGTGCAAGTGAAAGCGTATGAAATTGAAGACTTTTTAATAAAAGCATATCCTTCAACTGTAACCGTAATCCAAATAGTGATGAAGTCTCCCAAGTGCACAGCATTAAATGTGCAATAAATTTAAGATTTTTTGTTTGGAAAATGTATTTTATTTTTTCATGTAATACGCAAAGATTTCTTCTAAGAACTAAGATTCATTGTATTAAACCAAATGTACAAACTTTTACATCTCAGGAATATTATTTTAGACGTCTACAGAGTTATAAAAGACTATTTTAGTTATGGTCATTACAAAAATCATTTTGAAATAGTCTAACATTCCTATACACGGTACGGTACAATAAATTTTATGCTTTTTAGAGAAACTGGTGTTAATGAATTTATAATTTATGACATCATATATGTTTTAATCAAAACAGGTTAAAATTGAATAGGTTGACTGGTTAATGTAGTGGATACTTGTGGTTTTGAGATAGGTGTAGGTCTCCGTCCTGGTGGACGTCTGGCAAATGTTCCATACTTCCTTGGCGGTGGTTCAATGGGTAAAGGTGGATCAAATGAAGGTTCGAGTACCTTTATATAATATTAATAAATTAATGATTTTTTAACGTTCAGTTATACTACAATATTAATTTTTAGATTTAATAATTAAATTTTATTTTGATCGAATTATAATTAGGGGTAAGTGTTTATGGTTGAGTTAAATTATTAATTTGTCCCGCATCACCTATTATAGTTTATTATTCGGAACATTATAAAATAATTAGACTATAAATGTAAAAGTTACAGGCATTAAAAAAGTGGTCAAGTCGTGAATGTAATAATAATTAAATATATACTTTTATAAATTCCCAGTCGTTTTGTTTCGAAGATTCAATATTTTCCGGACATGTATCTTCTTCAGACGTCAAAACACTGGTTGAGGTGTTCAAACTTTTTTTCCATAATTTCCACTGGAATTAGTTTTTAATTAATTTTATTATATAAGGGTAAGTTAATAATATTAGTAAATATAAGGTATCCGAAGTTGATGTTTTTCTTACAAATATTTTACATTTAAAAATAGTGTTTTTAATAAGAGAAAATTTTAATTACTTTGTTTACAATCTTCTCCAAGTTTGACATTTTGCTTACAGTCAAGATCAACTCATCATTCACTTTTTTCATCTATGAATAGAATAAGAATGTTAGTATCTTTTGGGATAACATCATTATAAAAAAAGATCATCTAAAGTATAAATTTACTTATTATACCGTTTTATGTTTTTTTAATTAATTAATAAGCAATAATTTTTAGTTATCGAGTCTCCTATCTCTTATTTAACTTTTCGATTCATTTGATGAAATATGAAAGTTGCATTAATAATATTATGATTAAAACATCCGAATAAAGTCTATACTCTTTATTTTATAAATATTTTTAACTTACTTCTACATCCAGTTGTTGTTTTATTGTACTCTGCGCCTCTTTCTATAAATATGTACATATTTAATTTAATATTACTTCGTTTATCTCGTAATTTCTAGCACAAGTTCTAGATTTTTTAATATACGAAATATGTTCAAAAACAAAAATTGATTCTAACGTAACTAATCATTAACGTAAAACTTGTTTTAAAGTATTAATTTTCATAAAAAAGAATAAAAAAAATTTTACTTACTTTATTTAATATAACTAAAATTATAATGAAAATTATCAGAAATTGTAAAAAGTGATTTGAAACTAACTACTTTAACCACCACGTCTTCAAACTCGGAACGTTTATTCTTTAAAGCTGCCACGTTGTCCAATTTCTGAAACAATAAATCAGTATGGTGGAAACATCAGGTTCAGTAATAAAAATTTAATGCGACAGAGTGAAAAATATCCACTCATGTGTATACACCTTCACTACGCAAAAAAAAAACAGTAACTAAACTTTATTGCTCTCAAAATTCTTATAATACTAACAAATAATTTCATTCCTGATAAAACTCATTATTTCATACGAAAAAATAAAATTAAGAAAAACTGTATTAAGTGATTTTCATAATTATTTTTAGACTTTTCATTAAAACTTTATTAAATTAAATGAAATTTATTTAAATATTCGAATTGAATTAAATAAATGTCGACTTTTTAATTTTTCAAAAAATGTTATGTCTACAAAACTTACCGATCGATTTTTTTCTACAATCATCTGCATTTCTTGATTGGTCTTTTCTACACGCTTCATAATCTAAATAATAATAGACATTACAATTTACTTATACTAAAAGTGTATCAAATTTCTCACAAAATCGGTATATAATAAACAAATTTATTTATATGTCAAAAAATTAATTAACTTCTTTGGTTATTTACCTTGTTTGCGTACCAAAGAACAGCATAGAATATAATATATGCGATCAAACAGACACAGCTACTATCCAAAACGTATGTACGTATAAATGACTACCGTAGAGATATTTAATGATTAAAAAATATAATGGAAAATTTTTGTAAATTATTTAATGTTAATTGTTAGTTGTAAAACTTACTTGTCGGTTATAAATATTAAAATGTTGAAAAATCGGAAATGATTTTGAAATTTGATAGAGGTCAGAATGTTTGTGGTTAACCATTTTTCTACAAAAGATTTATTCTTCAAAATTAATATAGTTTGCCAGAATTTTACAGAAATGTTACTAATATTAATTGTCACTGCTCCATTTATATAAATTATTCCCCAACTATTATTCAGCAGGAATCAAATCAAATAAAACTTGTTGTCAATGAGTAAAACATAATATGAATATTGCAGTGAACATATGAATGTCAACATTAATGAAAGTTAGTTATAATTGACATTTAAAGGTAATTCCATAGTTTTATTTTTAAAAGTGCAATACCGAATTATGGAACAAACGAACAGTTAACATTTGATAATAGACGATTCATCATTATAATGTTTTCGAGTGTACCAAATCCAAATGTAACAGTTGTCAAAGATTTCTCTGTTGTTAGATATTCTAATAACTTATCCTAAAATTATTTTTTGTATAAATGACGGTTATCACAATAACAGTTTAAAAAATGACTAACAACACATATTTTAACTTAAATTAAGAAGCATTTTTTGTTTTCAAAACTTTTACACTTGCCAACATAAAAATGATAGATCAAAGAAACTGCTCGTTAATTCAGGTTGGCATTAGGTTTAAGCATTTTAATTCGCTGAACTTGCGTAATTAAAGCTGCAAGCGTTTTGTCTCGCAGTAAACTTATTTAACGACTCCATGTAAAAATACCCTACCCCGCGTCTTTATGATCGCTACCCCATATTCAATCCCTTGAGTTTGGAAAAGAGCAATAATTTTATACTTTTATGTAAACTGTATCTGCCCATGAAACTCGGAAAGTATGGTATTTTAATGGAGATTGGTAAATACCATTAACATCCATATGATTCAGTCATTTTTAACATGCAGTAATTTGATTCGCTGCCTTACTCATAAATACTTTTATACATATACTTAGAAAAATATGCAATTCATCCGTGAAAATTGTCTCTCTGAATGGCAAATATTACTTGCTTTGAGAATAAATTTCAAACAAAAGAAAAAATAGAAGTTCATTGCATGGGTTGCACTAGAAGAGATCGGGAGAGATTAATACTCTTTGTTGTCTTACTTTGTCATTTTTACATTATTTAAATGTTTATTCTACAGAAAGGTATCTGTAATATCTTAGTTCCCACCACTGCCACCATCAGCTTGTTTAAATTTCCAAGGAAATTGGTTCTTGAAAAATTTTTTAATCTATCAAAAAATTTGAGGTTTGACCACAATTTTAACAAAATGACCCATGGTGATATTGTAGGAAATTTGCTTTAATAAGTGAGAGGATATACAAAAATATTTTATTCCGACAAACTTTTGAATATACTCTAAATACATTCATTCCTTAGGATTTAATTTAAATTAAACGTATAATTGGGTGGGTCTGCAGAGCTTATTTTGCTCTATGCCAAAACGTTGACCCTTCTCTATCAAAGTTTCACCATTTCAACGAAAATACTGCATAGAGTGAGCGTCAACGATTCTGTTTCAAAATGTCTCCGGCTCGTAAAGCCTGATAGAAACCCTCCCACACGCTAGGGAATTCTAATTATTCGCAGTCTGTTAACCCTGCATTAAATTAACAAGTGCACTTTCATTGGAAATAGGAATTACATTTAAAATATTTTTTATCTTCAAAACAGAAGAAATATGAAGAACAAGATATACTGGAATACTATACTTTACTTCTTTAAACTTAATCAGAATATTACAATAATGAAACTAAAATTATCTATTTTAAAGGTTCTAAGCTTATTTATACTTCTTCTCCTTCAACAACAGACACAATGATTGAATGTAGAAAAACGCAAAGCATTTTATTATTATTTATTTTATTGTTTTATTTTAACTAAGTTAAACAATTTAAATTTGTAAAATTAAATGTGAAATTATAGCAGGCTTCACAGTGCCCCTAAAAAGTATTTTAGGGGAAATAGGGGACTGAAAATTAAAAAATAGGGGACTTTTAGGGGACCATAAAAATTGGTTAAATAAAGATGAAAATATAATTTATTTATACAGAGTTGCCACAAAAATTTAACTTCATTTTTCCCTAATTTCCAAACATAACTTTGACTTTTTCCCTGACCCTAAAGAATATTCTGATTCACTCTAAAAATTATTAGATACTCAAAAAAATGTTCTACTAAATTTATTTACAAAAATTTCTTTAAAAGTAAAGTTATTAGAAAACATCAATAGTTTTATTTAAAATAAATATTTAATCATTTCTTTTTCATTGGAATTAAGATGTTCAAAAATTTCAAATTGAGCAACTCATAAGAATATTATTATAAAACATAAAGATGACCGACTGCCAAAATCATTATTTCATTAATATAATTCAATTAACATTTTCTAAAATTTTTAATTTGTATTTAAATACAAAAATAAATAATATTGAATGTTTCTTAAAATTTAATTTTTACGAAGAATTGTATTAACAACTTTTGAAAATATTTAATTTCTTTTAAGGAATTTAATTAAAATTTTAATGAAATTTATTATATTAAAGAATTTTATAACAATTTTCGAAAATAATTGAAAACTTTTTGAAGAATTTTATTAAATTTTTCAAAAATAATTGAATTCCTGAGAAGAACTAAAATAATAATTTTTGAAAACAATTGAATTCATGAGAAGAATTTTATTAATATTTTTGAAAATAATTGACTTCTTGAGAAGAATTTTTAAAAAAATTTTGACAATAATTTAATTCTTGAGAAGAATTTTCCTGTCTATTTATAAAAATAATTTAATTCTTGACGAGAATTTAAAAAAATTTTTGAAAATATAAATTAATTTCTGCAAAGTATTTAATTACTTTTCAAAAGAATTGAATTCTTCTGATGAATTTTGGTATTTAACAAAATAATTGAATTTTGGAAAAGAATTTTATTAAAATTCCTTAGAATAATTTATTTTATGGGAAGAATTATGAAAATAATTGAATTTTCACATAGAATTTTATTAAAATTTTTAAAAATAATTGAATTTCTAAGAGGAATTATAATAAAATTTTTAAAACTAATTGAATTTCTGAAATTTTAGAATTTGTAAAAATAATTGAATTCTTAAGAATATTTTGATAAAAACTTTTTAAATAATTGAATTCCTTTAAAACTTGTAATATTTATGAAAATAATTGAATTTTTAAAACGAATTTTATTAAAACTTTTCAAGATAATTGAATTTCTCCAAAAATTTAATTATTTATGAAAGTAATTGAATTCTTACATCAAATTTTATCAAAATTTTTAAAGATAATTGAATTTCTGAGAAGAATTTTATTAAATTCTTTTAAAATAAATGAATTTCTGAGAAGATTTTTAAAAAAATTTTGAAAATAATTTAATTTCTGCAAAGTATTTAATTACTTTTCAAAAGAATTGAATTCTTGTGATGAATTTTTGATATTTATCAAAATAATTGAATTTCGGAAAAGAATTTTATCAAAATTCCTTAGAATAATTGATTTTATGGGAAGAATTTATGCAATTTTGTTGTTTATCAAGCTAATTAGAATTCTTCTGCAAAATTACTTGAAAAATTAATTATTAATTAATTCGTAAATGAAATTTTATTATTTATGAAAATAATTGAATTTTTTCGTAGAATTGTATCAACAAATTTTTTCTATAATTAAATCTGTTGATAAATTTGATGAAAATAGTAAATATTGAAAATTATTGAATTGCAAAAAACTTTTGAAAGTAATTTTGAACTTTTGCAAAGATTTTTATAAATTTTTTCTGAAATAATTGAATTTTTGGCGAAAAATTTTGCTATTTGTAAAGATAATTGAATTGTTGACGAGATATTCGTGAAAATTTTATAAGAATAATTGAATTTCTTTGAAGAATTTCATTACTTTTGAAAATAATTGAATTCTTCTTCCTAAAAATTATTGAATTTCTGTGAAGAACTTTGTTATTTATCAAGATAATTGCATTAAAACTTTTGTAATAATTAAATAATATTAAAAAATTCATTCTTGTCAGAAATAGAAAACATTTTTGAAGGTTTTGTATTAGAATTAGTGGCAGTTTCATAGTTTACGAAGCTAAATTTGGTGTGAATTCACTATTAAAAGATAAAAGAAAGAAATAGGGGGAATTTAGGGGAAATTTTCAAAATAGGGTACGTTTAGGGGCCAAAATTAAAAAAAGGGGACTTTTAGGGAAATAGGGGACAGACTGTGAAGCCTGTTATAGTAAATCTGTGAACAGATGGAGATTTCAAATTTTATGCACATTATATGCTGGCTAATCGAATTTAATTATTTATTTATTTAAATCATTACAAGATTGTTGCAATAATTAATATATAACTAATAAATTTTATATTCTAAAGAGGACGGCTGTACCGTTGAAACATAAAAGATGCTATTTCTAATTTGTTCATTATTTAACTCGGAGTGATCGTTACATGATACTCTATAATTAATTAAATTGAAAAAATTAAATTAACTAAATTAAAATTTATCTAATAATAATGTGTTTAGTCTTTCTGACGTAGAGTTTATTGGTATAGAATTAATATCACCTGCTTTAATATATTGTGAGAATTTTCTCAGGTGAAATTTGTTGTGTAAAATCTGTTTGTCAAGATATTAATTGCACAGTATCACTACAACTCCACCTACAGAATGATCGAATGAATTATTAAATTTTTATGTACATCAATAGGTTTGAATGCCTCATAATGAATTTACCATTAATCCCTAACTATATTTTTAAAATATATCGAGTCTCTAGTACTTCTTACGTAATAATAATTATTACTTATACAGATGGTTTTTAAGAAAAATTGGTTAAGACTCTCGACTGGTGTGTATTATGTTTGGAGTTCGATTCCCACTTTCAGAATTTTTCTATAAAATATGACACTAAGTGTAGTTTATAATATTTCTTAATATATAGCTTATTGTAATTTTAACATGAAACGGAAATTTTAATATTATTGTAATATTATTATGAGGTTCCCAAATAGCACGTTATCAGGGTCACTGATTAAGAATCTGAAGTCTGATTTTTCATATTTTCAAAATTCAAAATGGCGGATCCAATATGGTGGAAATTTTTTAAAATAATGTTCGAAATCGCTTGAATCTAGCTACCGAGATTCATATAAATTAAAATAATAAATTTTGAAGAGGTTGTCGTCTAAAATGCATCAGATATTTTATATATAGAAAAAAGGTGACACTCAGGAGTGTCACTATGCCGTAAAGGGTTATTAAATTAAATTTATTGCAAACATTAACTATTTGGAAAAAGAATTAAAAAAATTTTAATTATTTTTAAATTTTTAATGCTACAGTGTAAATGTTTAAATACCTGACGAGACATTGAAATGAAAGTACTCTGTTAAAAAAGTTTCTAAAATAATTTGCATACATTCTGAAGATGACGAAAGATATTAATAGTGTAAGTGACGTTTTTGTAGTAAGAAAGTGATGATCTTGCCCTATTACATATTATATCGTTGTGCTTGAATAACACTGACCTTATGTATGTATAAAAGACATACCTAAGAAGCGAACAGACGAAAGGGGAACGTAACTTTCTCTTTAAACTGTCTCCATACTACCTCATTCAGAAACATTCAATATTAGGTTTTGATCAAAGCAAGAGTCACTTTTACCGTTAGTTATTGTTTTCTGATAAATTGGTGTTGTGGATTTATTATGCATTTGTGATTCGTGAGTTACTTTTTATTATAATTTTTAAAATCCTACCTCTTCCATTTCTACATACTATTTTATTGTCAAAAATAGTAAACTTGTTGTTTTAATATTGAAGGCATACATTTTCCAAAACAATTAATTTTGTTTAATTAATGATTGATTTAATTAATAATTGAAAATTCATTTTCTCATTTTATTACCATTATTTTATTTTATTTTATAAAAATACCTCAATTTAGACAAACACTTATGAGATTTAATTATACAAAAATTTTATTATTAAAAAATGAGCGTGTAATAAAAAGTTAACTTTGCTTGTTTTTTAAAATTATTAAAATTATAAAAAGCAGACAAGAACAAGAATTTTTTTAACAACACCTCGTAAGTAGTTATTTACGCTTTTGCATCTTTGGAAATATTTAACACAAAACTTAAGCGAAAATTACCCTGCAATGTATTTATTTAAAAAAATACAATTTTTTAAAATACTAACTTTTTAATTTACAAACATTTGTAAATACGTGAAAATATGTCATAGTCTCGATTTATTTCCTGTCTAATGGGTCAATTGTTATTAAAGAAATTTTAAATTATAAAAATTAAAAAAAAATTTTTAAATTTTTTAAAAAAATTTTATTTTTTAAAATTAGTGTTATGGTTTTACTATTATTATTGAAATCATTCTTTTTGGAACTATAACTTCATCCATATTCGCAAAAAATTAATTGTTGCTAACTTTATTTAATTGTTTACACTGTAGATAAATATAAAAACGTGTTCTTTTATTTTATATTGAATACGAAATTTTAAATTTACTCGCACTTTGCAATTTATCCGGTGAGAAATAAAACTGCTATACCATCAGATACTCAGCAGAAGGTAATAAATAACGCATCGACTAAAAAAAATGTTCTGCTTGTAAATGTGCCATTTTTTATGTTGCGACAGAAATCAGAACAAACTGAAAGGTCTAATTAAGGTGAAACTTCGACAGCAATGATCTAACGAATTCAATATAGTTGTTCAAAAATTTTTTAACGCAATTGGTATGAGCAATGGAAACGAAACAAATTACACATAGTATTAACAAACTCTTATGTTTCTTAACAAAAATAGAAAGTCAGAGTTTTATTCCATCTCACTTTTTTATGCGTTTTGTTTAAATTTGATAAAGCTTTTTTATTAATCGCGACCCGATAATGAAATTTATATTTAGTTGAGTCTCATAAGTTAAGAAAAGTAATAAAATTATAGTTTATTAAATAAAATTAATCACTATACTTAATCACTAACTTTATATACCAACTGATGCAAATTTATAAAAAACTATTATTCAAAAAATTTTTAAGCAAATCATTATTGTTATTTACTATTTTTTTACAGAATGTATTTAGCAAAATGTAGGTAGTTTTTTCAGAACATGGCTATTTACCGAACAAATAATTATTTGTTTAAATAAATAAAAAATTCATTATAACTTTATCAAAATATATTATTTTTTATAGTCACAAACAATAAAATTTTAGTAAAAAAATTTGATGGATCGAATTTTTTTTGTAATATACAAAATGTAAAATATTTCAATTTTCACTTCTAAAAGATTTTTAACCCCCGAGTATACTCGGGGTGTACCTTTCATTTATTTATTTAAAAAAATTAAATTCGAGAGTCATATAAATAAGAATATTAGTGTAAGTTGAAGCTATATACTTGTATTTAATATCAAAATAAATATGAAATAGGCAAAATTAATTTTATTTCCAATTACTCCAAAAATATTTTCACTTTCATTAAAGAAATTTTCACTTTTAATTTCAAGGGAAATATTCTCACTTTCAATCAAAATATTGTAACTTTCACTTTCTGTGAAAAATTTTCTCTTACAATTTCACTATTTCACTAAAACTTCACAATTTTGTTGGTGAAATTGAAAGTGAAAATTTTTTGTGTGAAATTAAGTATAGAAATTTTTTGCATGAAAGTAACGTTAACGCACCTTTGATTTTGTTCTTCAAAATTCAAAATGGCGGATTCAATATGGCGCGCAAATTCTAGGAAATTTTCAGGGACACTGATTAGGAATCGAATGTCAGTTTTTCGAAATTAAAAATGTCAGATCCAAGATAGTGAAAAAAATTTCAAAAATCACATAAAATGAGCTTGACACTCATTAGTTAGAGGTTTTCAGGGTTGCTGATTATGAATTCAATGTCAGTTTTTTAAAATTAACAAATTTAAAATGAATGGTTAAATTTTTATCAAATTTTATAAATACTTGTAACTTGTTTTATAATCGAAATTAGTAGATTTAAAATTAACTTTTTCCACCATATTGGATCCACCATTTTGAATTTTGAAAAACTGACTTCGGATTTGTAATCTTCGACCCTAAAAACCCTTGAGTAATGATTTTCAGGTAAATTTCATTCCATTTTTGAAAATTCGTCAGACATATTGGATCCCCCATTTTGAATTTTAAAAAAACTGAGATCGGATTCAATTCATAATTAACGACCTCGAAAACTCAAGAGTAACTGCTAAGGTTTTAGAAATTAATAAATTTTTTTGTCAGGTATTGTTAATTAATTTTTCACGATCTGGGTTTCCTTGTAAAATTATTTACAAATTGTTGTAAAATTTGCAATTTGTGATTTTTTTATTGTCCACTTTCAGATGACTTTGATAGTACATTAGTAAACAATTATACTAACTTTTCGTAAATTATTACTATTTTGTTTAGTAAGTATATTTCTTTTCGCTAAAGTTGTAGTAAAAAAATGACTAAAAATTAGTAAAAATTTTATTTGAAGTGAATTATATAAAGATATAAAGATTATTTTCATACTTATCGTTTTCAGGAATTATAAAATGCATCTAAAAATACCAGTGCTTTTGATTTGTTATGTGCTGTCACTAATGTGTGTGTCAGGAGCACCCAGTCCAGAAGAACCTCTGTTCGAACTTCCAGTACAACTTGTGGGATTTCCAGTCATCATCGCAGCTGTCAGAGTTTCGAATTTTGTCAAGAAACTCGCCTACTCTCTCAGTCCAGGTATATTAAAATTTCAAGGCATATAAAAATAACAGGATCCCTGTAAAATAAAGTCTCTACATTTTTGTAAAATAGTTTTAAGTAAGCACATAGAAAACCCATTTCACCCTTTCTAAAACAAATTAGAATTATAAAAAGAAAATTTTTAACTTTTTCAAAGAAAAACTTTTCACATTTCATCTCAGTAATTTTTAAATATTTTCTCCCTACAAATTATATTAAATGAAATATTTATTATATTTTTTATTTAATAGGTACTTAAAAAGAATTTTTTCTTCTCTATAAAAGTCAGGGTTATAGTTTCCATGAAAAAAAATCTTTTGAAGTAATTTTAACAAATGAAATAATTTTTCTGCTTACAATGTATTTATTTTGTAAACCTTGTGGTAGAGGGACGCCTGATTATTCCCCAAATGTCATTTTTACAAATTGTCATTTTTGCGAATAGTCATTTTTGCGAAAAGTCATTTTTACGAATTGTTATTTTTGCGAATTGTCATTTTTGCGAATCGCCATTTTTGCGAATTGTCATTTTTGAGAAATGTCTTTTTGGCGAATTGTCACTTTTGCGAATCGCCATTTTTACGAATTGTCATTTTTGCAAATAGTCATTTTTGCGAAAAGTCATTTTTACGAATTGTCATTTTTGCGAATCGCCATTTTTACGAATTGTCAATTTTCCGAAAAGACATTTTTGCGTAAATTCCTATAGTGAATCTATATATGCATACAGGTTTACTATAGGAATTTTCGCAAAAATGACAATTCGCAAAAATTACTTTTCGGAAAATTGACAATTCGTAAAAATGGCGATTCGCAAAAATGACAATTCGCAAAAATGACAATTCGTAAAAATGACTTTTCGCAAAAATGACTATTTGCAAAAATGACAATTCGTAAAAATGGCGATTCGCAAAAATGACAATTCGCAAAAATGACAATTCGTAAAAATGACTTTTCGCAAAAATGACTATTTGCAAAAATGACAATTCGTAAAAATGGCGATTCGCAAAAGTGACAATTCGCAAAAATGACATTTCTCAAAAATGACGATTCGCAAAAATAACAATTCGTAAAAATGACTTTTCGGAAAATTGACAATTCGTAAAAATGTCGATTCGCAAAAATGACTTTTCGGAAAATTGACAATTCGTAAAAATGGCGATTTGCAAAAATGACAATTCGCAAAAATAGCTTTTCGCAAAAATGACAATTCGCAAAAGTGACATTTCGCAAAATTGGCTTTTCGCAAAAATGACTTCGCAAAAGTGCAGCTCGGTAAAATGATATTTCGGAAAAATGACATTTGGGGAATAATCATGCGTCCCGATTGAGGAATATATTATTTACAATTTTTTAGTTACAATAACAATTCTGGATAGATTTTCACATTTTTTTTATTTATTCACTTTCATCGTTAAAATGTTACACTATTTCATGTTACATTTTTTTATGAAATCAAACTATTATTATCATCTTTGTAGAGTGCGCAAAACATTAATTGCAAAATGCAAGAAACTAAATAAGAATTAAATATTTTTTATAGCAACGCCTGACGTAATATTAAGTTTCACTATACTTAGATTTTTGCAGTTATATTTAGGGTAGTTAAATCATTGAAAGACACCAGTAAAAGAAAAAAATTGTTTAAATTAATATTTTTTAATTTCTTATTCTTTCAAAATATGGTTTATGATAAAACAATATATTCAATATGCAAGTTATTTCTGAAAATAATTATTTAATTTCTTCGTGGGTTATGAACATGACAAATAAACGATGCATAAACAGAAAATAGGTTACTAGTTATTATACACTTAATAGTATATTTCGTAACGAGTGCGAGCAGTTGTCAAATTTTAAAGGAGCACTTTTTTTGGAACAAACTGTAGGCGAAGCGAAGCTTCGCCTACAGTTTGTTCCAAAAAAAGTGCTCATTCAAAAATTGGCAACTGCTAGCACTAGTTACGAACGATATTTTTCATAACAAGGTGCAAAAAAGTGCCTTTTTTTGCACCGCGTTATGAAAATAATATTATTGTCTTTGTTATTCTATATAGTGTCTTTCTCTCAAGCAATTCTAAATTTGAAGTAGTAACAATTTTCGACCACCATTATTGTATAAAAAGTAATCTTACTGTAGTATTGCCACGTGAGTTTAAATACCTTGTAATACAATGTGCATTTAAAGTCTATCAAACATATTGTTGTGCATATTTTATTACCTATGTTCAGTATATATTTGAAAGTAGGTATATAACTCCTCTTTCTAACAAAGATTTAATAATATGTAATTTAGCGTTAAATTTTCGCAGCAAGCTTTCTGGAAATTTGAAAGTTTACCTATTAAAGTTTTAGAATGCTTGCATTACAAACATTCAAGAAAATTACCATGCAAGCTTGTAGCAGTGGGGCACATTATTTCTTGCTGAATTTTTTTTGGAAGTTTTTGGAAAGTATAGAAATAAGTTATCTTGATATTACAAACAACGTAATTTCTTTAATTTCCTAATCTGAACCTCGTGTACAAGTTAAATACTTTCTTTCTGAAAATTCTTATAATTAATTCAAATAGAAAACTTATTATTGAAATAGAGTATCCGCAGCCTAATACATACGATATTATAAAAAACAGTTTCTCCTGTTTAATCTCTTCTGGTGGTGAAATTTTTCCAGGTAGAACGGTTTTTACAGAATAGACTTCATCAAACAACCCAACCTCGGTGGCTCTTTGAATTATTTTATTGTAAAAATCGGTGAAAGGCGGATTTCCACTCGTTGTCCATTCCAACAAACTATAATCAATAATTTCTGGCAATATTTTAACATTTAAGTTTTTACCTTTTGCCAAAAAATGTGCATTAATTTTATTCTCAGCATCAGCAAGAAAGCAGCTTATATTTTTATATTTATCCAAATATTCTAAACAATTTTTCCCCTTAAACGGAATACAACAATCGAAATATTGACATTTCTCTGACAGTTTTTTAAGGAAAGGATTTGTAGAAAATAGAGATATTACTGCATAAGTATCTATGTCCATAAACGGTATTAAAGACGAATTAGCTAATTCTTCCCAAGTCGAAATTTCAGGCTCCGGCTGTAGATTAATTTCCATAATTACTGAATAGATGTAACCTGTGTAAACAATGCATGTAATCAATAAGGAACCAAATACAATTCTTTCTACCCAGTTATTTGGTTCTCGATTTGCGGGCATTCCAATTATAATTTGACTGATGTTTAAAGGTTGCCATGTTGTTCTATTAAAATTCAAAAAGAAAGCCGTGAGTAGAATTATGACAATTGTACAAATTGTGATCATTATCATATGAAAAAATTCTGATGAAAAAATCATATATTTTGTGCTTTTTTCCGTTCTTGGAATTACAGCTTTAATGGCACCAATTTTTTGGATTCGTAGAATATCATTAGAATGAATATGAAATGTGGAACTTTCTATACTGGTTCTCATTACTGGAGAGATATAATCATAATCTCTAAGTGTAAGTGTAGAATTCATTGCTCGAGCAAAAATTTCTGTAGTTCTTTTCCTCATCCACTGGTTTTGCTCAGGATTAACATCATAATTATAAGATCCGAAATAGAAGTCCAATTTTTGTCCCTTAAGATCGTTAACTTTATCCGGAAACCATTTAATTTTAGAAGTTATCTCCAGGGCAGTGAAGGTTTCTATAAATGGATTTATATGACTCAAAAAAGGCGTAACTTGGTGTTTTGTATTATAAGTCATAATTGTGACGTCCAAATATTCCCATCTCCAAAAAGAACGCAAGGTATGGTTAAGATACTCATGAGTTGAATTAAAAGAGTTCATTATTAAACATCTCGGTAGTGCCAAATTTGCTTCAGAATTTATCTCTTTAAGGTGATTTGTAATTGAAGTCATTGTGTTATTATTGGTTGCTTGGAAGACAAATAAAGTAGAACTTCTATAATGCATCCGACCATGAAAGTTTTCTTTATATATCCTACAAAAGATAAAATTTTTATTTACTTAGAAAAATGGTAAACCTTTATTTAATCTTGTGATCAAAAATTCATAAAATTTTCACTACATTTAAAATAAAAAATTTACAATTTTATTATATAAAGTAATTGTATTTTGCACTCAAAAACTTTTTTTAATAGACTTAACAAGATAATTTTTTAACATATCTAGTTTACCTTTTATGCCAAGTGGAAATTTCGTTATAGTTGCTGCTTAAAGATGGAAAATGTTGATTGACTTCTTTCATTAACGAATTCAGCATTGGATCTGTATTTTCGAATAGATCTTCAAGAATAAACACAACCCGATACAGTTTAGATTCGTTCTTCAGATAATTTATAAATCCATCAAAGTAATCTGTTCTTATGGGTTTCTGTAGACTAACTGTTGAACGTTCTGCAAGAATTTCCTTCCACAAAATAAAAATAACCAAATATATACCAATAAAATTCATATTGACAACCACTGACTACGACTTCCAAAAACTGACTGCTGAGTATTTATCGAAAATTCTAGGGCTTTCAAATGTAATTTAATTTACTAGGCGACTGAATTGTCGTTTTTTGTCAATAACAATCACTTAAGTAAATACAGGGTTAAGAAACGTTTTCTATTTTTGTATTGGAGCTGAAATATACTTGAAGGGGTAACACCACTCTAGAGGCAGAAAGAAATACTTATGTTTGATGATTTATTTTAAGAAAATGAACTGTTTAAGGGTAAATGTGTCAATTACTGCAAATGCCTCAACTCTTGTCACTTTGAATAGAAATGATGATTTATAATATTTATTATCAGTGACACCAAACACCTCAGAGTAACAATTTTAGTTTATTTTTATTTAATTACATTTGTCAGTACACATACGGTGTACACTGTAAAAAGAAAGGTACTAATTTAGTACGAATTTTGGTACTAAATCGTAATTTGGTTCTATTTTAATACCGAAATCAGCTCTAATTTAGAACCTTTTTTTATAGTGTACGGAACCCTAAAAATACCATATCTACTTTTAAAGTTTATATTATATAGATCATGAAATTTCTTTGTTTTCTGTTCCAGGACTTGAGCTTCCATTTTGTTATAAAATTTAAAATAAAATTTTTTGTTCTACACTTCAATATATGTATTTAAAAAACTCTCCACAAAGAAATCCTATTTCTTTTTTTCATTTTCCCAAAAGAAACCATCAAAAATTGTTCTCTATTTTTGCCTCTATAGAGTGGTGCTACCCCTTAAATTCATCTCAGCTGTGTTTTATAAGTCGAACCTTCGGAGCATTTAAAAAATTTATTAAAATCGATTTAGATTTGAGTTGTCAGTAGATTTTTGTCAAGTATAATTTAGAATATGTATTGGAAATTAAATTTTTTTTTCAATACCTTGAATAGTAACAGTATCTCGTAAAATTAATAAATGTTTTTCACTATCAAGGCAATAACATATTTTACAGAAACCTACAGAAGTCGTTCGAAACGTGATTTACTGCCATTCATCAATCAAGACCAATATGACATTGACGAAATTGAGAAAAGAATTGAAGAAGAATTTGGAACATCTGTTTGCATATACAGTAATATTTGTGAAAAATATGCAAAGCTTGCCCTCGAAAATGATCATAAAAAACACAATCTAGATTGGAATTTTATTCTTAGGTAGGTATTATTCTCTTAATATTTAAATTTCAATCTGTTTTAACTTTTATTAAGAAAATATACTCTCGGTGGGAAAATATGTTAATGTGTTGGTCAAATTCCATATTTTCTCGAATCTAGAACATTTATGTTCTCCTGACAAGATTACTATGCCAAGAAAATTATTTTTTTGATTTAAACAATAATTAACTCGTCTCTATGCAATCTTAATAGTTACTTCAACTAAGTAAAATTTTCTTGATTCAATTCAAGTTTTTTCAGTGATAAACCTTTTTAACAAACTATTACCCCCTCGTTTAAACGTAAACTACAGATTCAGATTTTTTGAGGAGTTAGTTTAAGGATCTAATTAAAAACCTAAAAACTAATTACATTTATACTTTTTACATACTATTTACAAGAACTTGAATATTTTTTTATATTTTATAAGATTATCAAATGGACTTTTTGCTTTTCAGACGCTTAAAAACATCATCAAAAAGAGAGAGAGACAATTATCTTTTGAGTGTATTCCTTGGCGATATTATTGGCAGTCCAAAGTTTTGTCATCAACTGGCAAAACAAAAAAAGATATGTGTTGAAAAAATTTTATAGTACTAATAGTTGCACTTAGCAATTAATCTTTGTAAAAAAAGTATATACATAGAAAAAAGCCAAATATAAAGTTTAAATTACGTTTAAACTATAATCTTATATGAAATGACACTTGTATGTATTATAATTAATCATCACAGCAATTCTTATTATTAAAATATAAATAATATTATAAACGTCAGTTTTTAAGAAAACATTTTAAAAACAATTTAATATTATGTAATTCCTTTTACTAATAAAATTCGAAAAAAACATTTAACGTTTTTACGACCTGGGTCTCCTGGATAAATTGTTTATAAATAGCTGTAAAGTGTGCAATTTTTAATATTTTGACTGTCATCTTTCAGATAACTTCTATAGTACTATTACCTTGAATCTAGCATACTTTTTAGAACTTAAACACAAAGTTTTTTTTAAATTACGCCTTGCTTTAAAACTCAATAACGTTTGATACAGATTTTTAATTCGAGAAGCTATTATTAAATAACTTCAACTATACACTTTTTGGTGCTTTTTGCAGTCGAAGGGTTTCGCCCCTCGAACCATCATGTGACATCCTTTTTTGAGTATTTGATAGTACATTGCTTTTTAACTTTTTGACGCCTGTGGCTACATACAAAATATTTTTTATACACAATTTTTTTTGCCTTTGAAATAAAAATTATTGTAAGTGACATATATGGCTGCATCATTCTGTATACTCGACTGATATTTGTATCACTCGTTTTGGCTCAAACGTTCTGGGCTACAACTCGTATTGCTAACATGATTCTCGTAAATAAAAAGGGGTATAGCTGATAAGGCTAATGTGGAATCCCAACATTTCGGATTTCACATTCCGAATTCCAATTTTCATATTGAAATGTCGAATCTGGAATATAAAAAGTGGAATCAGGAATGTGGAATGTGAAAAGTGGAATTCGGAATGTGGAATATGAAAAGTGGAATGTGGAATCCTGAATATAGCTAACGAAATTAAAATTGATTATTAACAGATTATTAATTAATTTATAAAAATTGAACAAGTGGAAATAATATTGGAATTGAATTTAAGTATAATAAAAGCTCTCGTACAATATATTTAAAAATAAACTTAAATTTTTTTATATAAAATATCACAGTTAATTCCACCCATGTTTACGATTTTATTCGCCAATACTCTGAACATTCACAGCAAATCTTCTTTTCGTTCAAAGATCTCCCTACTACCTTTCTACCACTACGATTGAAATGTAATCGATTCTCCGTGAACTCAGGCGTAAGTCACCCACCAGTCAGTGTGACAAGAAAGTCTCTTTGGCAAAGACGCCAACGGAGCGAGAAATTACTCATCGTTCCGATTGAGGTTAATTAATTAGATAATTAAGCTCTCACAGCAAAGCAACTGCGCTCACTGTGCCCTCGGAGTAGATGAATTTCTCTTACTTTGGCTTATATTATTTAGATATTCCTCTTTCAATTGTGGCAGTGAAGTTCATTAAAAAATCCTCCTTGTTGCCGGATAGAACCCTTTCTCCTGTCTCATTAATTTTCTCTTTCACAGAGGTTGTCGATGCACCTCTGCGACGCAAAGAGGATACCTCTTAACGGAAGACTTAACCAAGATCTCATTATATTCACACGATTTTCGTAGAAACCCAAAAGTTTTGCAGACGATCACATGTTCCAGTACTTTCATTATTACCAAGCTTTCACAGCAAACTTGGCAAAATGTATTTTTAAACAGCAAAGTGTCTCACCTGTAGGAAGCTTTTCGTAAGAGGTTATCTCATGTTTGTTAGACAAGACTTCTGCAAACTGAATAGGAAAGCTTACCGCAAAATTGCATTGAATCATTAGTTAAACCTCACTTTAAATGATTTATATATAACCTATAATGCTCTTATTACTTTTAAATAATTATTTCAAGATTTTTAAACAATTTACCGAATTTTACCAATTTGGTAAAATTATATTCGGAGAAAAATACATTCGGATGAAATCTTTGTACCTATGTTTAGGCTTAATTTGTGTTTAACGTTGTATAGGAGTAAAAACAAAATACAGCTAATAGAGTGAATCTTTCAACTGATATGAAGCAGAATCAAAGAGTGTTATTGTAAATGGTTCTCTGTTTATTTTGTACAGATGTGTCAGTTTAGTTTACACTTCAATGCTGCCCATGCGACTTAGGCAGATTTTACCTTGGCCTACGGCTCCTTTACTGATTCGTATTTAGATAGTCAAACCTTCCCAGTGACGACATGAGAAATTGCAAGTGGCAGGCTAGCCTTATTGAATAATTAAAGATATTAACATACCGAATCTATAATACAAATAAAACGCACAAATACTTTTAACATTTTTTTAATTAAAGATGATCTTTTAAGGGCTACTCAAGCTTTTGGAGGCTATTGAAACACTAATTTGTTATCTATTTAATTTTAAAATATGAACCACACATTTTTAATGAATAAAAAATGTAGTGACATTATAATGTTTGGTTTAAAATAGCAAACAGTGGCTTTGGTGTTTTTTGAAATTGCATTGGGAAGTTGAGTAAAGAATACAAGGGTGGAAGGCTTCTTCACATCTAGATATAAAAAAGTGAATTTTACGTCTGAATTTAAGGAATTCGCCGAGGTCATAAACTATAAAGATTCTAGACATAACTCGAACCAGTATCACATTTTATTTAATTGCCCCACGGCACCCTGAGCGAGAGTTTTCGTGTGCATAATATTATTTATTACCGAAGAAGCTGTTAAGATTTAATGTCGAAAAGGCTCTCGGCTTGGAAAATGAAACTCAATAAAATGTTTGTTATCCAATCGAGCCAGAGCTTTCTCAAAGCTACTGAATTTGTAGAAAGCACAAGCGATCTCGTAGCTGAGACATTATCTCTTGGATAAGGCAGCAGGCAGGTTTATGGTCCCCTGAAATTCTATCTTAGTTATGTGCTTTTCTCCTTAAAGATGAGAGAGGACATATTTTCTGAGCATAGCTTTAAGCATTTGTCGTTAATCGTCTCTGTCTTGCCTTCTGACCGACGATATTGAAAAAAGTCAACTGATAACGAATGTAAATAAGATTTTTTGGTAGCATTTAATTATTTACACTTTAAAAATATTAACTTACTCTGGGAAATTTCACAGACAAGAATAAAGTAACTCGGCCTCCCAGTGATTACGATTATGAAATCAAAATTCTTACGTTATTTCTAAATTTCAATTAATAATTGTACAATTTGAGAACCAAATGCTTATACCCACTGTAATTGTTTATTTTTTAATTTTAAATTATAAAAAAATTGTTATCATTTCAGCGCCATGACAGTGGTCTGTCAGCGTAAATGAAAGTGTTGCCCCAATACTCAGCGAGTTGTTTTTTCCCATGGAGATGTCAATCTCCATGGGATCAACCATCAAATCAACTGCTCTGTGTTACGAAATAATATTTTTTAAAGCGTATCTTACCCTATGCCGTACCCTTTGTTATACCCGTTCGTAAAAAATATATTAATACATCCAAAAACAGTTAAAATTCTACTCAAACATTAAAAAAAACAAAAAAAACTCAAACATTCACTGTTTTTTAGAATAACAAGAAAAATAACTGATTTTTAAGAAGTGCGAAATATTTGTATTTTATAATTACTTTTTATCCTTGAATTGTTGAGTACAACAGTTTTTGAAAATGACACCAAAAATGTGTTACAATTCTTTTAATATCAAAGGCCACAATTATAAATGTAAAGTAATAATATAAATTATATAATATTATATAATTTATATAATAATCCGATGAACCATTAAACTGAACGTGTTAAATTTCAACACTTCTCGTCTCTGATCATAAATGCATAAAAGAATTGGTAAGGAGGGTTCATGGATCAATGAGGTCAGATAGTGGGTTGATGAAAGTATAGACAGGGGAGATGGTTGGTAAAAAGGAGGTGCAAGAGGGTATAATAGCTGTCAAATGGTATGATCTATTTTTTTGATGAGATATACTAATGTCAGATTGAGAAAATTGAAACGATTACATTAAATTTATAATTTATTTATTATTAAAATAATTATTAAATTATTTTAATTAAATTTATTAAATTTTTAAAATAGGGTAACTCCGGGGGAGATGGGCATAGTTTTTTTAAAGTACTGTAAAATAAAAATAAATTTCAAATACTGCACTTAATCTAATCTTCAATCAATGTCGTTTGATTGTAATTTTCGCCTCAACCTACAAATAGATCTCCAGCTCTGGTGTCGATTACATCAATAATTATTTTGTTCTCAGACATTTTATAATTTGTTTTTCTTTAATATTTCTTAAGCATCGAAAATTGACATAAAAAATTAAATAAAAATCATTAATGGACATCTCACTCAATCCACTTGATACAAGGAATTTTCATTGCGAATATCGCAGAACACATGATTTATGAGTTAAAGGATACATCAAGAGGATTAGCAGTTAAAACAATTTCTTTCGTGAATGATCGGACTTGCAATGCTTTTGAAGACAGAGTTAGTGATGTTGTTTTAGCTTCAGAAAATATTTTTAATTTCTCAGCGAGAATTACATATTCAACCAGAAACAAAGTTTGGCAAATGCGGTCAAAAAGAATGCAGAAAAAATGAAAAAAATATTGGATGAGGCCGAATTAATGACAGATGTTGTTAATTAAAAGTAAAGTGCCAAACAACACGGTTATGTTTCCCCTATTGATAGAGCATTTTCAAGAGAACCAAGATCTATTGTTCCAAGTTTTTGATGCAAATTAAAAATTTAATTATTTATAAATAAAGTGTTATATTTATTAAAGGATAATTTGACTAAAACTTATCAATGTTATACAGACAGCATATTTTATTTTAATGGTAATATAGTTTTGATTGATTTACTATACTTAAATATTTCTGTTTTTTTAGATTTCAGAAGATGATTCCATAATAAAAAGTAAAATAGGACCAACACATATTTATAGTATTTCTAGTTGTTGAAGGCGCAAATTTATATGATGAAAGAAGTCAATGTTACGTATACATCGAAAATCAAAATTTGATTAAAACAAAGGATATTTTAGAAGGAATCTTCATAGTGTTTATCTCTCATTATTGCTTTGGACATTCGTATCCTATTGATTGAATTTTTAATTTCACATTATTGAATTTTCAATTCCATGTTAATTAATTTTCA